AAGTCTGGAGGCATGATAATAATACAGTAAGCCGACACTTTATCATATTCACAAATATGGGGCACAACACACGCTGCACCAAAAGCAAACGGAGTCGGACCTTTTTTCAAAATAGCCCTGGCTTCCAGATGACCGCAACTTAACTCTTTCATTTCCAGGAGGTTTGGCATCAGAGGCCCAAGGGGAAGTAAAGAGAGACACATCTTGCGTTCAATGGGCTTCTAGGTGGAAACCAATGCACGTCTGATACGTTCCTTGAGACTGACAGAGTTTAAAGGTTACCACATAAAGTCCTGGGAAGTTAGGGCAGCCGACGTGATGTTGGCCACATCACATACATAGAAGCACCGACTGGTCTATAGATTATAGGTCTAGCCCTACATGCCCAAAACCCCTAAAGGCTTGGATGATGGTCCTTTTTTACTTGGTAGTATGGAGTGAAAAAGAGAAAAGTTGCAGTTCTGCAGTGACATACAGGATGCACTGCACCCGCCCACTGCACCAACTCCCACCATAGAACAACAGCACCAGTAAGCCTTTTCCACTCAGCTCGTTTACAATCAACATGTAAGAACTTGTATGTTTGTATGTATGAATGTAAATACGTGTGCATGTGTTTGTTTGCCCGAGTAAAGGCAAGTCTCAGTGTGTTAATAGATGAAAATCTTCACAAATAAACGAATGAAACAAATGGAATGTTTCTTCTTTCTCTATTTCTCTCTCATCTCTCCTCACTATCTCTCTCTCTCTCTCTCTCTCTCTCTCTCTCTCTCTCTCTCTCTCTCTCTCTCTCTCTCTCTCTCTCTCTCTCTCTCTCTCTCTCTCTCTCTCTCTCTCTTCGCTTTTCATATTTATCGTAGTCTATACAATCAATCCAACACACTATATCATGTGCTAAAATATCAACCACCAGTCTGTCATTAAGACACGCTGATGAAGGCATACATGAAGGAACTATCCTTGAAACATATAAACAAACAATGACGAAACTGCCGGCATCCGGTGCATATATTTATAGAACTGGAAATCTTTGTGAAAACATATACAGACCCAAGAATTTATAACCAAAAAAAATGCATAAACGTAATACAAAAATCGTCATGATATATTTCATAAATAGTTGATTGAAATTGCGATAGATATATAAAAGCTGTTATACCCATTATTGTTGCGTGCATTGTACTTATAAATTGTCGATAACGACCTCTTAGAATAAACAGAGAAATTAATTCATTAGAAAGTGTCCATGTTAAAGCTGTTTTGACATTACATAATGTAATATAGATGTTAATTAATTAAAACTGGACCATCTGCACTAATGGAGATGGTCTAAAATGTATCATCATCATCATGATCGTCAGCATCGTCATCATCATCATCATCATTATCATCATCATCATTATCATTATCATCATTATCATCATCATCGTCATCAACAAGTGCCTTTGCTGATCGGCGTGAGCGATCTCGCCTCTCCACAATCTGCCATCTACAACTGCGTGTATCATTATTACGTGTGTTGACACTTCACCATGCTATAACAAAAGACTGTCAAGAATCTTCTCGCGCTGTCTTCCTCTGTCCTTCTTGCCACAGATCTTTCCAGTGGTCACAGCAGGTTTTAGTTTTATTCTCCTCATAAGATGATCAGAAAAAGATGACTGTCTCTTTCTGATGTTTGCGATAAGTTGTCTTTGAGCTCTCGTCTCTTTCAAAACATCCGGGTTGCTCTTTTTTGGCTGTCCAGTATATTCTCAGGAATCTTCTGTAAAAACACATCTCCGCTGCCTGAAGAAATTGTTCGGCTTATTTATTATTGTCCAGGATTCACAGTCAAATGTTAAAACTGGCTCTGTATAGCGTGGGATCCTCCTTTTCCCAGCCTCCAGTGACACGGATTGGAGGTTAGAAAAATGATTCACAGTTTACCATTTTGGAAAAGCCGTTTTCAAAAATGACAGTGGTCTATATCGGACTTGAATACTGGCTTTCACGATTGACCGTTTGCGCAAACACTAAGATCCAATTCTGATGTGGGATGATTAGTGTTGGCACATCTGACAAATGTATTACGCATTTGTGTACAGCATGCATGAATTATTTTCTTAACCTCCAATGACACGGATTTATTGAATCAAATGTTCCTAGTTTCAGAAAATGCAGTTTCCTCTGCAATGTATATCCACAGCTAACTATGGGAATACAGCAATCCTTCGTTAACACAAACTCGCTTAAGACAAACTTGCCTTGTTTACCATGTTCATGCACAGCTTTCTGTCAGGCTTGAGGCAAATCATGTTTAGGTACACTTTGATGTCAATCCACTATTTACTGATATAGGGACTGGTGCGGTACAAAAACCCCATTGTTTACAGTTAGGGTCTCCTGTGGTGGGACAGGTCAACGGAAAGGAACAAGAAAAGTAAATATAAAAACCGTCTGCTTTGCAGATAAAATGAATGTAAAAATTTTTTTATAGTTCTGAAAAAAAAAAAAAAGCTAGTCGAAATTGATTGACATGTGTCATTTTGATAGACACAAATATCCACAACATGGTACCAAAATGTGGAGCAAATTCTCTCACGGTCATCCCCTGCAGTCCGTCCTTTCCGTCGTTAATGTTGTTCCTTTGCTGTTTCAGAATGCCCTTTATTTTTACCACGACGAGCCCAGAAAATGCAGATTGTTTCTTCTGACACGGTTAGCTATTTCTCTTTAGGAGTCGGGCTTACTACGCTCAGAGGAAAGGCAAAGGCGGACTTATAACCAGATGTGGCCGGTCCCATTTTTAACTCTGCGCTGGCTGCTCAAGATGAGGACGGAGCATAGGAATACCCCGAGTGCTGTGATGTCTATTCTTGACTCAACTCAACTCTTTTTAGAGTCAATTTCTTAAAAGACTTCTTCGCTACCTGCTAGTAAAAACTGTATACTGAGTTTTGTGTTACGTACCGTCAGCTTGGCGTCTGAAGCTTTAGGGCTCTGAATGGAATTCCGAATGATAATGCCGGGTGATATGAGGAATTAAAATGATTACTGTAAGGGATAAAGGACATTTAACTGATATTAAAAACAGCAAAGTGAACGATGTCTCTATAAACCCATCTGTTTATCTTGTTCCTGACAACATCTTGGTCAAATGGGTACAGTTTCGACATTACAGCATTCAGTACAAGCCCTATGTGCCCTATCTCCCTAGCTAAGTCTCCATACTGTCGTTGTCATCTGGTAAACGTCTCTTTTTGTCTTTCCTCTGAGTCTGAAGTTGGGCCCAGAGCCCATAGACACTCCTAGATGCACCATTCTATTCAGGTACGAGTCTTCAGTACCTTAGCCTATAGACACTCCCCGATGCACTATTCTATCAAACTACGAGTCTTCAGTACCTCAGCCCAGAGGCGGGAGCTTTGTCTGCCTTGTGCTTTTTCAGTACCCTTTTCTCCCTCACCCTCCCCTTTCACGCCATTGCGGCCTGTGCAGCCAGTCTATCTGTCTGCTCATTCCCAAACATACTTGCATCGCCCGGGGGATGGGGGGCGGGGGGGGGGGGATATTCAGTTGATTCTCATCGTTTGCAACCTCCCGATTTATGCCACCATTCCATACTGAGAAAGAACGATTCACCGTCCTGAGCATGCTTTAGGAATCCGATACTCTGACTAAGATTTTCGCCACCCATCGGATTGCCGTAGTTCCTAGTTCCTGCCTCAACAGGCTTTTCTCGATAATCCTTGTCATCTTGATTTTGCAATGGCAAGTTGAATAGTTAAAAGTTTCTTGTGCACATTACGCTAGCCAATGCAGTCTCTGTCTGTAAACCTTTGCTCACAGCATATTTACTTCAACCCCTTTCTTTATGACCAACGGCCAGCGAAAGTAGAACACAGTATCAAAAAAAAAAAAAAACCGGTTAACAGCCTTGACATCCTGACCACACACACACACACACACACACACACACACACACACACACACACACACACACACATTCACACATATTCTATAACATTTTCTAAAATTCCAGATTTCGTAACAATTTGAACATTACTATTTTTAATGACAATAATGCCCACACGCTAATCTGTAGCTGTTAAGATCGACTATGTTGTTGTTGTTGATGATGATGATGGTACTGTTATTGCATGGAATGAAGATGGTTTCAACATTAGGACTCGAAAGCTCCAACAACCTGATTTTACAATAGATACAAGTCAATGCCTTCAATTACGACAGTAACGATTAACAAGAGTTACCAGAAGTATGAATCCTGACCTTGGTGCCTGGCATGTGTTATGAAAGTACCATGTGGAGGATATCAATGGATGCGGTCTCTGGTACAGGCGGTCTCATATCTTAGACACGTATGTAACGGCACTGCACACCTTCAGAATAATGCGAATAGGTTTCCAAGAATAGGCAACAGTAGAGTTTTCTATTAAAGACGCAAGTGTCTCGTTCGGTGACGTTCGATGAGACTAATGCGTGTCAGGAAAGTTCACGGGCAATGTAAGCAGCGGGTGCTAGACACAATAGAGGAGTGGTTTGCCGCAATCTAGTCTGTCTCCTTTGCTTTGCCGGTGTTAACAGAAAAATAGTAGACACACACATTTGCCGCACTGAGCTTTCTTGCTTATCTCCATTGCGTTGCCAGTGCGAACAGTAGATGATAGTCATGAAAAAAGAAACGTTTGCAGCAACATTGAGCTTTCAACCGTGTCTCCGTTGATTTTCCAGTGCGAACAGCAAGTATAAACGCATTAGGGGAATATTTGCCTCACTGAGGCACTGTTTCCGTAGCTCTACCAGTTTGATCTCTGCTGCCTCGCTGTTGGCAACATCACAATGAAGAGCAATAATGGAATCCTCAGTAACGAACAGGATACTGATCAGTAAAGGTTACTGTTACTGCGAACTATAGAGACATAATAGTTTCACTCTAGCTACTTTGAAGAATCAGTGGCACTATGGGTGTATGAATAAGTGATACAACTACTGATGCATTATGTATACTGCAGCACTTGTGGGTGGTCGAGTGAGGAAATGTGCCCAAAGGATGAAAGAGCTGAATGGTCACTGGCAGCAGAAGGCATATAGCCACCACCCTGACAAACATACCACTCACTGAGGCTGGTGGGGTGGTGTGTGTGCGGATGATGTGAGTGATGTGTGAGGAGTGGATTTGGATGATGAGGAAAGTGCGGCAGCGTTGCCGGTGCGGATATAAGATGTCCTGGTGAGGAATGTACAGAAGTGAGAGCCGACGTTGGATGTGGCAGTTGGGCTATTGCAGCCCTCGATTGTTGCTGTTGTTGTTGTTGTTGTTGCTGCTGCTGTTGCTGCTGCTGCTGCTGTTGTAGTCTACTGACCTGATGCTGGGATTGTGATGGTATATTCTGCTGCTGGGAACTAGGCGGCGATGCTATTGAAGGCGAGGACGTCGTGGTCGGGCTGGGGGGATGATTTGAAGACTCGCTTGACCGACTGTCTGCATCGGAATCGTACCCGTCTTGCACAGGGGATGTTTTTCCGTGAACTTTCATATGTTTCCGCAGGGAACTAGGGTGAGTGTACGACTTGTCGCACCCTTTGACCTTGCAGTTATATGGCTTGTCGCTAGTGTGCACGTGCGAATGTTTTTTCCGGTCTGAACTGTTGGCGAACCTTCGGTCACATCCGTCGTACTCACATTTAAATGGCTTCTCACCTGGAAGAAGACAACAGGAAATTGAGTCATTAACTGGCATGTCTCAATATTTTTTTTCAAAGGGTTAACAACAGCAGTATAACAACAATATAACAACAATATAACAACAATATAACGCTTTCAGCACTAGTTAATCTCATTCTTCTTTTCGTGTTCACGCGCTGTAAACTCGGCGAAAAGCTTTTTATTTGTCCATTTCTGGACTGAGTTTTGTGATTCACATCTGTTTCAAGGTCTGGCTTATTTAAATACAGACTGTTAGTTTCTTGCCTCTCAGGCAGTTGCACCCTGATCTCGAAAGAAACGCCTATAATTAGCCGCCTTTTACGACATGTTCGTTGATTTTTTTTTTTTGGGGGGGGGGGGGGGGTGAGTCTATCTCACCCACTCCCCAAAACGGGGCACCAAAACCCACAGAAGGAGCTAATAAATAATTTGTTTAACTATTATTTTAACAAGAAAATGTAATTTAAAGCAGTCAATGGGTGAAACTAAAAGAGTTAAAATAACACTAAATCAATATTAGCAGACCTTACGATCAGAATAAAAGTAGTAAAAAAAAATGGCAGTCAAAGAAGAAAAAAAAAGTAAAAACATAATATTATATTTGCAGTAAATTAACGTATGACAAGCTGCTGAGTACCGAATAAGTAAAAACGATAAAACAGATAGCGTCTAGTTCAAATAGTTAACAAAAAGCTTTTTTTTTCCAGTTAAAAAAAAAAAACAGTTAACACAGACAACCTTTTTGTCACACAGTTGTTTTACACACAGTTGTTATATACTCAGCTGGTGTATACACAATTGTTTTGTACAGTTTTCTTCTTACATATTCTCCCCTTGTGGGCTCCAGGGCCACATTGTGGGAGAAACAAAACAGAGCCACTGTTTTCCCGACAAGCATGTCGTAAGAGTTGACTATTTGGGGCTTTCTTCGAAATCGGAGCGCATCTGCCTAAGAGGCAAACACGTAGCAGCCTGCATATAAGTAAGACGGATTAGTAAAAAACTAAGGTTAACAAGGCTAACGTCCAGAGTTGAACAAACAAATATAACTTTTGCCTGAGTTTACAACCGGCGAACGTGAAGAAAAGGATGGTTAATTAGATGATCACACAGACAGTTTAGTTCCAATAAGTAATGCGGTAAAAGGTCCCTTTTACACGACTTCCGGCGTATTGGAAGTAAAGGGCTAGACCTATATTTTGTTTAAAGACCAATCGGTACTTGGTGGGTGATGTTGTCAGCATCACGACTGCCGCCTTTACTTTCCAAGACTGCACCTGGTACCTACTCAAGGATGGGTCGACCTGAGAGTCGAGGTCATTTCTGAAAACAAAATCTGGCGCCGTCAGTACGCGAACCCAGGACTTTCCAATCCGCAGGCGGGCGTCTAGTCGCCAACACCCCGGCGACTCCCATTTTAGTTCACATAGTCACCACAAATCTTTCTTGCTCGAATTATTATTATTATTATTATTATTATTATTATTATTATTATTATTACGATAACTATTCCCCTTCTGATGTCGATTGATTCACTTTATATGATGTCGCAACAACAAAAAAACGGTACACAGTAGTCTAAAGGTATTTTTTTTTCGCACTCCGAATACTGCTCACACATTTAATTAACAAATATTCTTCAATTTATTACATAAACACATTTTGAAACAAAGTTGAGATAAAACAGAGAGATGAGAAGAAGCAACAGTTACGTGCGTGGCACACGTACATCTGCGTGAGTGTGGATGTGTCAACTGATATGATAACGTTCATATCACAAAAGACTATTTCATCAATGAGAAGATTATATATATATAATTTTCACTATTCGGCCGAATACGAAAAGCGAGACCAACTATTCGGCCGAAAACGATTACGAATAGTGTCATCATCATCATTAAGTGCCTTGCCGACTGGCGTGGGCGATCATGCCTCTCCATAATTCACGATCTCCTGCAGCATGTATCAGTTCGTGTGCCGACACACCACTATACGAATAGTGTGTAGTGTATAATTATATATCTAAAAAAAAAAAAAACCCATTCATAATGTCAAATGTACGCTGAACTTTTATTTCACATAAAGTAGCACAGAATAGTCAGTCATCTTCTTTAGAATTCTGAGCCCTTGAGGTTTACTGCTGCAGATATCACTCGTCTCCCTTCGTCTCTGTGGCTGCCCTTTTCTTCACAATTTGTGACACCAGTTGTTTGCAGGTCTGGCTGGACATTATCTCTCGAACTTCTTTTTTTTTTTTTCTTCTGCCTCGTGGTCTACGCCCTCTCCTCTCTCTGGCGTATACAGTTTTACTTCTCTGTCATCTGACATTCTTTCAATATGCCCCAACCATTTGAGTCTGTTAGCTCTTATGATGCCAGTGATCAGTAGTGATTTAAACAGATTATGTGTTACGTTGTTGCTTCTCACTCTCCATTCCCCGCTGTTTGCATCTTTGATGGGTCCAAAGATTTGTCGTAAGACTGTTTTCGAAAACTGTAAAAAGGCCTCATTCGAGCAGTTGGAGTTTGCATCCAAGTACTTATATGTTTCTTTTCGTTTGATTTTCATTTTATCGACTTGGATGTGGCCGAAGTTTATATTCTTTTCATGTCTAGTTAGTATTCGTACAGAATAGTAAACATTCAAAAACATTTTATGTTTTGCATCCTTTAGTCAGTCTGTGGTAACTAATAACTAGGAATGAAAGAATCCTAAGTATTATAACAAGTAACTAAACTTTGAAATTGTCACTGACAGCTTAGTTAATGCATGAAAGCTGCCTTAGCTTTCAACAAAACCAATCGTTCCATGTTATTAGCATTAGGACCGTGTATGCAGAAGCGGGTGTAAGGTAACTACTATTCGTATTCGGCCAGACTGCAACTATTTGGCCGAATACCAAATAGTCAATAGGTCCACTATTCGGCCCCGAAGCGAATAGGAAGCGAATATTCGGTACAGCCCTAATATATATATATATATACTGAAACGTACAGATAACTAAAGTAAAAAGTACGAAAGTACATATGTAGATTAATAGATAGTATAGAGTATAAAAGGGAGTTGCCGTGGCAGAGCGGATCGGAAGGTAGTGGGTTCCCAGGTCGACCCAGCCTTTAGTGGGTACCGGGTGCAGTCCCGGGAAGTAGAGGCGGCCAGCGTGATGCTGACCACTGCACCCATCTTGTGCCGTTGGTCAATTAAAATATAGGTCTAGTCCTATATGCCCTATACGACTAAAGGCGTGAAAAATGGTCCTCTATTTTTTTTTTTTTAATAACTTTTATAGAATATAAAAAGTTTCGCCGCCGGAGATAGGGAGCTCGTGTTCTGCGCTCGATACGTTCGTTATCAATAGATCTACTTAGTATATACCAGGGCTTGCACCTGAAGCCTCCTAAAAACCTGATCATTAAAGGCAGAACAGGAAAGAAGAAAAAGAAGAAAAGAAACAAAGAAAGAAGAAGAAGAAGAAGAAGAAGAAGAAGAAGAAGAAGAAGAAGAAGAAGAAGAAGAAGAAGAAGAAGAAGAAGAAGAAGAAGAAGAAGAAGAAGAAGAAGAAGAAGAAGAAGAAGAAGAAGAAGAAGAAGAAGAAGAAGAAGAAGAAGAAGAAGAAGAAAGAAGAAGAAGAAGAAGAAGAAGAAGAAGAAGAAGAAGAAGAAGAAGAAGAAGAACAAGAAGAAGAAGAAGAAGAAGAAGAACAAGAAGAAGAAGAAGAAGAAGAAGAAGAAGAAGAAGAAGAAGAAGAAGAAGAAGAAGAAGAAGAAGAAGAAGAAGAAGAAGAAGAAGAAGAAGAAGAAGAAGAAGAAGAAGAAGAAGAAGAAAAAGAAGAAAAAGAAGAAGAAGAAGTACAATAATAATAATAGGAAGAATAAGAATAGGAAGAAGAAGAAGAAGAAGAAGAAGAAGAAGAAGAAGAAGAAGAAGAAGAAGAAGAAGAAGAAGAAGAAGAAGAAGAAGAAGAAGAAGAAGAAGAAGAAGAAGAAGAAGAAGAAGAAGAAGAAGAAGAAGAAGAAGAAGAAGAAGAAGAAGAAGAAGAAGAAGAAGAAGAAGAAGAAGAAGAAGAAGAAGAAGAAGAAGAAGAAGAAGAAGAAGAAGAAGAAGAAGAAGAAGAAGAAGAAGAAGAAGAAGAAGAAGAAGAAGAAGAAGAAGAAGAAGAAGAAGAAGAAGAAGAACAAAAAGAAAAAGAAAAATCGAGAGCAAGAAAAAAAAAACAAGAAGAAGAGGAGGAGGAGGAGAAGGAAGAAGAAGAAAAACAAGAACAAGCATAACAAGAATAAGAAGAAAAGAAGAAGGATGAGGTAAGGGAAGAAGAAATATAATAATAATAATAATAATAATAATAATAATAATAATAATAATAATAATAATAATAATAATAATAATAATAATAGAAGAAGAAGAAAAAGAAGAAGCGTTATGAAAGGTACAACTGTACGTAGTTCCAATTAACACAAAGTATGTAATAAAATATAGTACCGAATCTATACATTTGTCTTTTACTTCGACAAATCCCCGTGTGGGTTTTGGGGCCCTATTACAGGGAAAAACAAGAATAGACCCACTGCCTACCCAGAAGAATGTCGTAAGAGTCGACTAATTAGGAGCTTCTTTTGAAGTCGGAGTGCATCTGCCTGACAGGCAATGAACAAGCAATATGCCTGCAAATGAGTCAGATCTGTAAAACGGATGCGCACGCAACAATCAGGTTTTGGAACAGGACTGCAGTCCAAAAGTGGTTGAACAATGTGAACTTTCTGCTAGAGTTGACAGCTGATGAACGCGAAGAGGAAGAGGACTTCAACACAGCGGCCGCTCAGAGTTGTTACCATTAGATTTAAGGGGCACCAGAACATGGGATTTTATGCACCATGACCCCTCCGATAACAAACAGGGAAAGGGGAAGAAGAGGTGGGATGACCCCTCCGATAACAAACAGGGAAAGGGGAAGAAGAGGTGGGATGACCCCTCCGATAACAAACAGGGAAAGAGGA